AGAACCAGATTTGATTCCCCACTCCTCCTCCACATGAAGCCTGCTGGGTGACCTTGGGCCAGTCCCAATTGTCTCAGAACCCTCTCAGTCCCACCTGCCTCACAAGGTACCTGTTGTGCGTAGAGGAAGGGGATGTGATTGTGAGCCGCTTTGAGACTCCTTAGGGTAGAGAAAAGGTTGGTATTTAAAAACCAGCTCTTCTTCGTACCTCAACAATGTCTGGCCACAGGCCAGTTGCTGCCCTGTGTTTTAGTTTTAAAAGGTAAAGGTAAAGGTTCCCTTGCTCGAAAGCCAGTCGAATCCGACTCTAGGGTTGCGGTGCTCATCTCCGTTTCAAAGCCGAAGAGCCAGCGCTGTCTGAAGACGTTTCCGTGGTCATGTGGCCGGCATGACTAAACACCAAGGCACACGGAACGCTGTTACCTTCCCATCGAAGTGGTACCTATTTATCTACTTGCAATTTCTTGCTTTCGAACTGCTAGGTTGGCAGGAGCTGGAACTAGAGATGGGAGCTCACTCCATCATGCGGCACCCAGGTCTCGAACTGCTGAACTACTGACCTTCCACAGCTTGCAGTTCAGCATCTTAACCACTTGAGCCACCGCAGCTCCGTGTTTTAGTTGACCGTAGGAATAAATGAAGGATGTTCTCTTTTAGACAAGAGAAGTGAAGTGGTCGGGTGAACCTCATGTTTGGGATCCCAGTGTTCAGAGGAGCCTTCTGTAACCCTCTGTGCTGGGGGCAGTGGGGGGGGTCAGGCCCTTTGGCCCCCCATGCTCTGATTAAAGACCTTCCTGGGGTAACTCCTACCCCTCACCTGTTGGCACATGTGGGAGGCCGATATAGACCATGGACCAGGGCTGTTGTCCTCCTGTCATACTGCATGGACCACTGTGCAAGGGCTGGACAAAGCAGCTGTTCCCTATGTGGAGTGCTGAACAGGTTGGGGCATGCATACTGGGGCTGGGGCCTAGACAGCTATAGGGGGGCTACACATGAAACCAGGCCCGTAGCTACAGTGGGCTATCTCAGGGCTAGGCTTGCTGGCAAGGCCCCCTGACTCCCCCTCTCACCCAGGGAGTCACGGCCTACTCTCCTGGATTAAACTGATTAGCCAGTGCCCCCTAAGAAATTTAAATGCCCCCTGGCTTTAAAAAAAATCCTGGCTACGGGCCTGCATAGACCATCAGACCAATTAAAAATAACCTTACAATTACAAAATAATTCAATAAAAACACATAAAACCCAACACCAGAACCAGTGCTCCCTCTAAGCTATGGAGTCTTGTGAGCAAAAATTCTACTTTGTGAGCTGCTGGTGTTAAAGTTGTGAGCGAGCGATTTGGCTACTGCATCAGTGAGTTTGCTCTGGAGCCATCCCTTCCTGAGCTAAGGCAAAAATGTGTGAACCTTAAGAAGAAGAAGAAGAAGAGATTGGATTTATACCCCACCCTTCACTACCCTAAGGTGTCTCAGAGCGGCTTACAAACTCCTTTCCCTTCCCTTCCCCACAACAGACACCCTGTGAGGTAGGTGGGGCTGAGAGAGCTCTGACAGAAACTGCCCTTTTTCAAGAACAGCTCTTATCAGAGCTACGGCTTGCCCAAGGTCATCCAGCCAGGTGCAAGCGGAGGAGTGGGGAATCAAAACCGGTTCTCCCAGATTAGAGTCCGCGCACTTAACCACTACACCAAACTAGCCGGAGGCTAAAGAACTGTGAGCTAGCTCACACTAACTCAGCTTAGAGGGAACATTGACCAGAACCAGGGAAGAGGGCCAATATCCATTGTTTGGGGTATGTCAGACAAAACAAAAAAGTGTTCCCCCAGCTGGTGGAAGACACTGATGGAAGGAGGCAGATAGGTCTCCCTGGGGAGGGAGGTCCACAGGTTGGGTGCCACAACCAAGAAGGCCCTTTCTTGGGTCGTCTCCCATTTAGACCCAGATGGCCGGGGGGCAACCAGGGCAGGGCCACTGAAGATAACCAGAGTGTGCTGGTAGGTTTGTATGGGAGGAGGTGCTCCTTCTACTGAAACTAGAATCATAGAGTTGGAAGGGACCTCCAGGGTCGTCTAGTCCAACCCCCTGCACAATGCAGGAAATTCACAAATACCTCTCCCTTACACCCGCAGTGACCCCTGCTCCATGCCCAGAAGATGACAAAAGACCTCCAGGATCCCCAGCTAAACCGGCCTGGAGAAAAATTGCTTCCTGATCCCAAAGTGGTGATCAGCATTTCCCTGAGCATGTAAGAAAGGCCCACAAGAACTAAGCACTGATGTAACTGATGAAATGGAGTGCTGGACTATATAGACCCCTTGCCCTAATTCTTCAGGGCTCATTCTCAAGCGGTAGCCCACCCCTTCGCTTACATAGCCCCAGCTCGGGTTCTGCATTTAGAGTTGGCCTTTTATTTTATTCCATTTGCGTGTGTCTCTGAACAATGAGGTGAGGAAGAAGGGTTTGTGGAAGTCTTTCATCAAACTTAGCAAAAGCCACAAAGCACGGGAAGGAGGGTTTCGACTTCACTGTTTCAGAAGGAGTGCCACATGAAAGAAGCCAAAGCTCCTTAAGAGTCAGTAACAATTACTTCACGCTGCCCAGGGTGTGCATTGTCTTCAAAAAATGTTCTTTTCTACTTGAGGATAAGGAAGGCAGTCTGGGAGGAAACTCCAGATGATACCAACCCTCCGGGCAGGGGTTTTTTTTTTTTGGGATTACCAAAATCAGCATAGTTTCGATTGAAACTACTTTGTTCCTTGCTTCTTCTCCCCCCCCCCCCTTTTTTAAAAGAAGTCAGACTGAAGCTCAGACGGAAATACAGTCAGGAATTGTCTGCAAGTAAGAACAAGCCAGTGGAAGCTAACAAAACCCGATGGCAGCTTGTGCTGCTTCTTTATCAGTGGGGCAGCAGGCTTCTGTCTGAAGCTGGATAAGCGAAACCTCTTGTCATTGATTAGTGCGGATGATTTTTTAGTAGGCCGGGCTGAATGTTCAGGCAGCCAGTTTATTATTTCGAGACGACAGATGGTCCCAGTGTGGCATCGCAGTACAGGGGTAATTTCCTGCAGGAGCGCACAGGAGCGGAGCTCCAGCAGTAAAGAGCCCAGGGGGCGGGCACATGCAACAAGCCCCACCCCCTGCTCCCAGTAGCCCTCAGTCAGAGCAAGAAGCAGCCAGGTAAGTTGCAGAGCCCCCCCACCACCAGCCCCCCAGTCCAAAACAGTCCAGTGGCACCTTTAAGACCAAGTTTTATTCAGGTACAAGCTCTCCCTCCTCTGTGAGGACAGATCCCCCCCCCAATAGCTAGCAATCCAAAACAGTCCAGTGGCGCCTGAGTGGTGAATGTTGCCTTCTGACACACTTCTGGTGATGTCAGGGGGTGTGACATATGCAAATAAGTTATGCTAATAAGCTCCTGCACCTCTTTTTCTACGAAATGACCCCTAGTTGTTTATAATAGTTATTTATTTTGTAATAAGGATCCAAAATGGGGGGGAAGGGTTGTATCAGGCCCTCCTCACAGAACTTCAGATTGGAATATCTGAGGTTATTCGTGAGAATGATTTGCCCAAGGTCATCCAGTGAGCCTTCTGGTCAGGTAAGCATCTGCTTAGGCTAGAAGTCAACCTTTTTAGGTAAGGTGCCACCTTCAGGAAGCAGTTCCAAAGAACACCCTCATCTACAGGTGTAGCCAAAAAAACATCAATTAGCTGGCATTTAAAACCGACCAGGGTAGCACCACAGGCATTCCGGGATCATATCGAGCGACCTGCAGGTCCCACCCATTGAGACAAAATCTAAAGAGTGCCTTACACCAGGGGGATGAGCTGTTGCTGGCAGAATGGATCTACAGGATCCTAACCCCATGTCTGTCATTCTGCATCCAAAAGCCAGCAAAAACTTAGCCAAGCCAGAACTGCATTTAGCCACGATTCAGGCAGTCTGTGCATTGGAAATGCATCTTCCTTCGTGACCTGACATGAATGGCCGAGGCGTGTCTGATCTTGTCAGATCCAAAAGCCAAGCAGGGTCAGCCCTGGTTCGTATTTGGATTGGAAACCACCAAGGAGATCCTGGGTCGCGACGCAGAGGCAAGCAAGGGCGAACCACCGCCGAACGTCTCTTGCCTTGCAGATCCTACAGGGTTGCCAAAAGTCAGCTGCGATTTGATGGCACTTTCCACACACCCTCTTCCTTTGCTCGGCCGGGGTGTAAATACCAGAGAAAATAACCGTTGTCTGAAATGACAGATGGGTAGGGGAGATGAGTTGCACTTTTGAGCAAACTTTCAACTCTGTCTGCTAAGCGCTTGCACAGTTCCTCCCTGGCGATTCCCACCTGTTGTCAGACGACCCAGTTCACCCATACATCTGAGTGAACATTTCTTTGCAGATCCTTACTGCCTCAATATTTAAATTGGCTGTTTTTCTCTCTCACAAAAGCTGAATTTCAGATTTACCCGCTTGCTGACTATAGGGGTTGTTTGTTTTTTTTGCACTTCTGTTTATTCCACAGGTTTGTTGTTTTTTTGCACTTCTGTTTATTCCACAGGTGTGTGTATGTGGGAAATTCTGATGCACGGCATCAAGCCTTTCCAGGGAGTGAAGAACAACGACGTGATCGGGCGCATCGAGAACGGCGAGCGGCTACCGATGCCCCCCAACTGCCCCCCTACCCTGTACAGCCTTATGACCAAATGTTGGGCCTACGACCCCAGCAGGCGGCCGAGATTTACAGAACTGAAAGCTCAGCTCAAGTAAGAATCTCTTTCCTGTTCCACTGGCATCAAAGGGTACCGTTTTGATGTTCTGTGCGCAGGGTCACCAACTTGGTGCCCGCGGGCGCCATGGTGCCCACCAAGTCCTTTCTGGGTATCCTTTTGAGTGTTTTTAGAAAGTTGGCGGGCCCAGGTGGGTCTTTTGCCAAGCAGGCCTTGCCCCTGAAAAGCTGATTGGCTGCGCAGATTTAAAATAATATTGTTTCAGCGGCAACTGCTACCACAGTGTTTGTTTCATTCTCCCTCACCCCTCATCCCCAGTGTATGTTTAGCTACCTCTCTTCTCCCCTGCACTTGGGATTCCTCTGCATGCGTGGCCCCACCTCTTGTGAAAGTAGGGTTGCCAAGTCACTTACTTGGCACAGCGGGGGAGAGTTGGTCCCTGCCCGGGAAGTGATGTCATCACATTGGGCACGTTGCCGGCTGACGCTCTAGCAATCAGCCTGGAAACTCTATGGTACCATGGAGTTTCCAGGCTGATTGCTAGAGCGCCGGCCGGCGACGTGCCCAACGTGATGACATCACTTCCGGGTGACGTCATCACGCCGGACACGTCGGCCCGAACCGGGCACTTTGGAGACGGGGTTGAATGCCCTTTGGGCAGGCAATCCCCCGCCCTCCCAGGGGACCTGGCAGCCTTTAATGAAAGCCATTTTCTGTTTGGCTCTGCTCCTGCAGTAGCCGTTTTGCAGTTGTGCCCACGACCCCGTGTCAGCATTCCAAAGGTGCCCCCAGTCTCAGAAAGGTTGGTGTGACCCCTGTTTGATGGAAATACTGAACGGAGATGGATTGGGGGTTTCGCCCTAGTTCTTGTGGGTGTGGAGGGACGACGTTCTCCTGCAAACCAGATTTTATTTTGCTGATTGATTACTGCAGGGAATATCACTACTTAAATTAAAGCCATGAGTGTTGGGAGTTACTGACATCTAATAAAAGTAAACGCGACTGAAGAATATGCAGGTTTGACTGCTGGTTTGTTTTGCTCAGAGTGGTCTATTCTGGTTGGCCATAGCTGTCAAGCAGAGAAGAGAAAAGGTCTTTCCTGACTCCTGCTACTGAAGATCTCTCTCTTTTTTTTATTGACTCTCCTAAAAGGAGAGAATTTATGCTTTTAATATCAGAAAGGAGGAGGGTATATAGTGGGATTAAGAAAAGATTGGGCGATGCTTTCATTAGTATGTTAATCTTTTGTTAGTATTAAACAAATCTTCTTTTGGCTTCTTCTGTGAGTTGTCAATCGTATTTCATCTTAACCTGTAAAAAACAATACTGTTAATGTGTTAGTAGTGTCCTTTTAGCTTATTGTTAGTAAAGTCTTTTCTCGCACATTCTCTACTGAAGATCTCTTAACTGGAGACCCCAGAGTGTGAACCTGGGACCATCTCTCCAGAGTCACATTTCTGCTTCATACCTTCTTGTTGGTATATTATGGGTTGGTTGCTGGAGTCCATTGCATCGTCCCCAAATTCTTTTTCGGAACCAAGCATTTAACTTTGATTATCCACTTTCTTTATTTTGTCTAGCACGTTCCTTTTTCACACAGACTGTTTATTTTGTCCTCACAGAATGACTAGTTGTTAAAATATTGGGAGGGGGAAGACACACATTTGTCCTCCCACCACAGTTGAATTTAGTCTTGTAGACTCTACCTGCCCTGCATTCTGGCACTTGAAACAGTTGTGTGGAAGGTACTGGATACTTGAACCCCTTTTAAAAACAGTGTGCAGAGGAGTGCTAAAACCCTCACTGTTGGTATTGTAGCTATTTAAAACAACAACAACAAAATCACTCCCTGCAGGTTCAGAAGTTAAAAAAAAAAATCATCACAACCTAATTTGGCTGATCGGCATTGGAATATCATTCCCAGGTGTGTTTTCCCCCCTTGTACAAAGATCTCTTGGCCTCACTTGAACTGCACAGAGCCTGTGTCAGCCCTTTTAGTTAGGGAAAGTGAGGATTTTCTTCAGCTGACACAATCTGCTGCATTTCAGGTCTTAAGCTCCTCCTGTGAATTAGCAGAACCAAAGTCCTTTCCCAGTTGTTGAGAAGGTCTTGTTTGTTTGTTTTTGTGTGTGCTGTTGCACTGTTTTATCTTTTTCTGGGTACTTTCCAGGAGGGAAGAATTGCCTCGCACTGCCAGGGTGTGTGTGCAAATTATGTATTCTTTATTTAGAATACTTCAACCCCAGCTTTCCACTACGCATAGCAACCTGGGTGGGGAATATTGTGGTGCTTATTTGGGAAAGGTGCCACTTTGCCTCAGGCACTGACAGCAACCTTGAGTGGCCTCCTTCATGTGGGCAAGGAGCCACGTCCATGCCTTTGATGTGTTGGAGGTCCTGATCCAAGCCATCCGTGCCTACAAGGATGGGGTGTTTTTTTTAGAAAGCAGACCGGAGTATTTTGTACTAATGGAAACTGCCTTTCTGACGTTTGAATTGTGACACATGTAGCCCTCGTACACTTCACATACCTTCCATCTGAATTCCATTTGTTTTAGGAATTAAAGAATTTTAAAGGAAAAGGGGATCATAGAGTATTAGCCCTATCTTCCAACAGTCTTACAGCATTTAACTAAATAATAGGGGGACGGTAGCCCAACCGAGGGGGATTTCTCGAAGAATGCCACCACCAATTTCTTTTTGCTTGGCATTTTGTTTTAAGACCTTTTAAAGAGTTTTACCTCTAGCCTGTCCTTTAATGCCTGTTCTTTTTATTTTATTTTATTTTGTGATGTCAGTGGTCTCCGACTTATTTAATTACAAAATCCTGTCTACGGCCCTGCACTGCAACATGAACAGTACCCCATCTTAATGTGTCTGTGTTTTTTTTAATTGAGCTGCAGAGTTTTCATTGATTTTTGCAGTTAGGCAGATGTGAATGAACCGTGATTTATTCAACCACTGGTGTAGCGGGTCCTTTTAAATCCAATTTGCCGAATTTCTTTAAAAAAACAACAACTTCATTTATATCCCGGCTTTCTCCTCAATGCAGCTTACAACATTGTCCTCCCCTCCATTTTATCCTCACCCACAACCCTGTGAGGTAGGCCAGGCTGAGTGTGTGTGGCTGGCCCAACATCGTCCAGCAAGCTTTACCTGTCTGAGTAAGGATTTGAAGCCAGTTCTCCCAGGTCCTAGTCAAATGCTGTAATTGATTTATACACAACAGGAGCTAAGTTGTACATGGAATGATGTTCCCAAAGCCATAAGGAATGTGGGACTTGGGATTCCCTGCTCTGTACTAAATTCTATATTCATGCAATCTTGAAGAGCGTTCAGATTTCAGTCAAAGTAACTGTGGTTTATTCAGAAGTACAGTGAAATGCAATTCCGTCTCTGGGCAGGAAATGCCTAAGCCATGGTAACTGTGGTTAGGATAATGGCATTTTGCTGAAAATGCATTCTGATGGCTACTCCAAGTCAAATGTCACAGCTTTTCTAAGGAAACAAATTCAAATACCTCCAAGCTGCTTCGCTTATCCGTCAGAGACGGGCTGCGTGATAAGGCACGCTCCTTTAACTTTGCTGTGCTACGAATAACCCGTTCAAGTTTGGGAAAATATGGCTCGATCTGACTCTCCTGACCTCCTGTGAGTTCTAGCCTTAAAATGCTAAGAGTGCATCAGAGCAGCTGTACGGAGGGACGGTCAAAAATATCTCTAGACGTTCCAGTGCTCCCATCTATGGGCTGACCCTCCCAGTGGCCAAACAAAGGCAGTTTTATGAGTTATTTTTAATCCCTTCGCCTTGAGCCAGTTAAAGCTTCTGGGAGAGAATTTCCACTTCGTGCTCTCTCCTTTATCTACCCAAAAACAAATGGGTCTGAGAACTGACTCCCATTCCATCCGATCAGGGTTGCTGGGGCCGGGACGGGGGTTGCCCAATGCCTCTGATTTTAAAGGTTGCCTCCTAACCCACCTAATCAGGGATCCGATTCTGATCAGCCTGCATTCATTTTGCAGTTCAGCCCAGGAGTCTTGACTTCAACGCCATGGATGTGCCTATCCATTGGTTTGTGAAACGTGAACGCCCTCTGAACATGTGCAAAATGGTCTTTTCCCTTACCCACCATTATTTATTTTGTTTCTTTATACCTCCCCTTTCCTTGTGGTTCAGGGTGGCTTGCAGTGTGATGATCCCCATGATTAGCCACAAGGTACAGACAGGAACTCTCGGTCTGGGGCAAGGGATGCTCTGTATGTTCTTGGTGCTTTGGAGGGGGGGCAACAGTGGGAGGGCTTCTAGTGTCCTGGCCCCACTGGTGGACCTCCTGATGGCACCTGGTATTTTTGGCCACTGTGTGAGAGAGTGTTGGACTAGACGGGCCACTGGCCTGATCCAACATTGGCTTCTCTTATGTTCAGATAGATAGATTAGATAGATAGATAGATAGATAGATAGATAGATAGATAGATAGATAGACAGACAGACAGACAGACAGACAGGCAGGCAGGCAGGCAGGCAGGCAGGCAGGCAGGCAGGCAGGCAGGCAGGCAGGCAGGCAGGCAGGCAAGCGCACTCTGTATTCTTGGTGCTTGGGGGCCGGGGAACAGTGGAAGGGCTTCTGGTGTCCTGGCCCCCCTGCTGGACCTCCTGATGGCACCTGGTATTTTTGGCCTCTGTGTGACAGAGTGTTGGACTAGAAGGGCTATTGGCCTGATCCAACATTGGCTTCTCTTGTGTTCTTATGTTCTTATTGGGACTACCAACTCTGGGTTGGGATATATATGGTTTGGGGGGGTGGAGCCTGAGGAGGGCGGGGTTTGGGGAGGGGAGGGACCTCATCGGGGCCCAATGCCATAGAGTCCACCTTCCAAAGCAGCCGTTTTCTCCAGGGGAACTGAGATCTCTGTAACCTGGAGATCCGTAACCTGTTATTGGTGGAGACCTGCAGGCACCATCTTGAGGGCGGCAGTCCTAACCATGACGATCATAGCAAACTGGCTACCAGCCATAGGGTAGAAAGTTTAGCAAGCGGCTAGCTTAGCCAGTAGGCCACTTTCAGGAGCGCCTGTTACATCTGCATCTGAATTCCTGCTTCTCAGCTAATATTTGCATGGTATGTGTCAGCCATCCAAAGTGGTTTGCTTCCATCCTGTAGTGTATTCAAAGCTGCCTTGAATGCATGATATGTTGTGAAACATCTAATTGAAATGTAATGTAAAGCTTCGTCCTGGGCTACGATCCCAATCCATCCAATCATGTTACTAGCCCAGGAAGCACGCCGTTTTCTCCAGGGGGGCTGATCTCTGTAACCTGGAGATCTGTAACCTGTTATTGGCGGAGACCTGCAAGCACCATCTTGAGGGCGGCAGTCCTAACCATGATGATCATAGCAAACTGGCTTCCAGCCGTAGGGTAGAAAGCTTAGCAAGCAGCTAGCTTAGCCAGTAGGTCACTTTCAGGAGCGCCTGTTACATCTAAATTCCTTCTTCTCAGCTAATATTTGCATGGTATGTGTCAGCCATCCAAAGTGGTTTGCTTCCATCCTTTGCTCTCCTCTCTGGCCTATCAATGGGGGTGGGGTGGGTTGCCCTACAGTGGCCAGTTGCTGGTCTTTGGTGGTGGGGAGAGGCGTGGCTTGGAGGCAGGCTCCATCCGTGAGTTGTTCTCGTTTTGGAGATGGAGAGAGATCACAACTCCCTGGAACACAGGCAAGCCTGTTACGGAGGGTCCAGGCAGGGAGTTCTCTGCTAGCATTTCTTTGCGGCACGCAACAGAAAATGTATTACTTGATTTGAAAGAAATGGATAAGGGGAATGTGAAGAGGAAAATAACACGGATTTCTCTGGCATCTGCTTAGACGTAATTAACGTTTGCGGGGCGTGTGTCAGACACCGTGGCGATGAGCCTAGATGGATGAGTGGACAAGTGGCGAAGAATGCAGGGTTGCCTCTTAAGCTGGCTGAGGGCAGGGATTCTTGGGATGGTACGTTGTTTGGCTTCAGCCTCTTGTCTTCTGTCGATCTGTTGAACCAAGAAGTCCCCATGGCCTCCAGCCGCCACCAGGGATTTTGCGAGTGAAAGGTTCTTGTCGCGATCTGTGCAGGACTGGGAGCAGGGCCTGGTGCGGCCTGGAGACCTGCATGGCAGTGAAAGCAGGCAGCCTACAGTCCCCACAAGGCTTAGCACTGTTGAACTGTGGGAGGGGGTCGTTCTTCGCCCTTAAGTGTGCAAAACGGAGGGTTTTTCGGTCTCTCTCTGGGGCCTGGACTGTGGAGACAGGCTGGTCTGGGAGAGGGGAAGCTCTCCACTGGGCTCAGCGTGAGTGCTAGGCAGGCTGTGGGCCTGGAAGTAGAACAGGTGGCTGCGTTAGATTATGTTTATTTTTCCTTTCACACTGTTATGCCCTTTGAAAGCACCTTGCCTTGCCTTGTTTTTCCGTGCCCCAGTGTTGTTTTTAATAAACCCTTTATGTTTAATTTTCTCTTCCTGTGTGTTCTCGGTTGAAAGGGGGCTTGTCGGATGGGCTTGAGCGGGTACCCTCGGCCTTCTCAACAGGGACCATAAATCCAGAAGGCGGAGACCCCCCTGGGGTCATGACAGTTCTGTTCGGCCATTTTAAAAATAAATCCTGAGAAGTAATCTGTTGGTGGAGACCAGCCTCTGCAGATCTATGCAGCATGCAGTTGAAAGGAGATGGCAGCCCGTAAATCCAAACCATTGCCAAGGTTTTGAGGACTCCCAGGAGCTAAGGGTGTGTGTGTGGAAAAATGGAGCTGGAAAGCACCATCTCTAAGCCAGACAGATGGTGAATGCTGAGGGCAGTTTGAAAGACGGAGCACTGCAGGTTGTGTGGCCAGTCACCTCAATGAGCCAGTTTGGTGTAGTGGTTAAGAGCACAGACTCTAATTTGGGAGAACCAGGTTCGATTCCCCACTCCTCCACTTGTACCTGCTGGTGTGACCTTGGGTCAGTCACAAGTTCTCTCAGAGCTGTTCTCTCAATGGCAGTTCTCTCAGAGCTCTCTCAGCCCCACCTACCTCACAGGGTGTCTGTTGTGGGGAGGGGAAGGGAAAGGATTTTGTAAGCCGCCCTGAGACACCTTTGGGTAGTGAAGGGCGGGGTATAAATCCATTCTCTTCTCTTCTTTTTCTTCAATTTGGATCATTGCTTCAGAAGCCCGACTAGCCCAATCTCATCACAACTCAGAAGGCTCAGCAGGTTCAGCCATGGTTAGTACCTGGATGAGAGACCACCAAGGAAGACGGGAGCTGCTACATGGAGGAAGACAATGACAAACCACCATTGTTGTTCTCTGGCCTTGAAAACCCCATGGTCTTGGGGTCGCCATGAATTGGTTGCCACTTGACAGCACACAGTTATTATTAAATAGGCTTCACGAGTCTTTGAATTGGTCCAAAGAATCTGCAAAACCAGAGGCAACAGTGTGACGAAAGAAGCGCGTGGGCCTCACCTGGATAGTCCAGGTAAGCCCGATCTCATCAGATCTCGGAAGCTCAGCGGGGTCGACTCTGGCAATTACTTGGATGGGAGACCTCCTTGGAATACCAGAGGCAGGAAGCAGGGACAGGCTTTACTCAGCCACCTCTCTGAATATCCTCCAGGCCCCCAGTAGCGCTCAGTCACCAGAGGTCGCCGTCACCTCGAGGTGCAAACACACTCACATGCGCACACACAAATACAAAAAAAGAAAGAAACACGTGTATGGTGAGAAGGGAAGCCCTCTTCGAACCACTTCCACCTAGGGAGGGGGAAAAGTGCTTCCAGCCATGTCCTACCTGATGTTTTGCTTCTGGAAAACTTGGAACAAAACAGCTTGCTCTGTGGGTGATCAGTCGAGACTGCCCAGCAGCGCACTTGAAATCCATGTATTTTCAACGGTAATGTATCGCTGTCTGCGTTTCTGCCTCCTCCACCCCATGGAAGCTGCAGAGTGGATTTTCCCATTTGGCAAAGCAACGGAATAGAATCTTAATAGCCAATCAAGGAGGAATTTGTTTTTTGAAATGACTAATGGACTAAGGCAACTGATCTCATGCCATTCATGACTTATCCTAGGCAGTTTACTGTGGGAATTAGGCAAGGAGGTTACAAACTTTGGTCAGCCTTTTAGAAACTCCTGATCGAGACCCGGTGGAAATGATCTGATCATCTTAGAACTCTGAAAAATCTGTGTAGCATGGGATTCTGTCACTGCCTGGTGAATTTAGGAAGCTGATGCCAAGTATTTCCTAGATGGCTAATATCCAAGTTTCATGGTTTAGATAGCAGGAAGGGGAGGGAGTTTCAGAGGAGGCAGGGAGACTCCAGATAATCACTTCAAGTGACAGAGAGGTGGTAAGTAGATGAGTAATGAGGGTTAATTCTCTAACTGTCTTTCTGGAGGAAGATTGATTCCACTCCCTGTTACAATAGAAGCCAAGAGAATATCCCCTTTTTCTTTGGTTGGATGTTGTCTACAGGTTAAGAAGTAAGAGAATTTCAGTTCCTGGTTTAAAAGTTTCTCATTGTTTTAAATTTGCTGGTAGAACTGATGGTCGATCTCTCTTTCTCTCTCTCTGACTCTCTTCCATCAGAGACAGTCTGCAGCTTGTTTCTGAGTCTTCAGAAATGTGGCAGACTTACTTCCCATGCGTGGTATGGATGGTTTCCTTGCAAGTATATGCTTGATTAATTGCCTCAAAATAATTACGCTGGTGCCTTTAGATCAAAAGGAACGTGAATTCTTTGGGGGGGGGTTTCTGTTAAAGTATTTCTGTGGGATCACCGTGATTGTCTAAATATATATCTCGTTGCCATATGTCTTTGTGTTTTAGGAGTCTTGTGTTTCAAAACCCAGCTGCTAATTTTTGCAGAGGCATTCTCTCCCCCCACCGGCCCACCCACCCTTACTTCCCCTACCCATTCTTAGTTTTATACACCCTAACTGTCTCTATTGCTGTCTTTAAAAAGGGAGACGTATTTGTCTAGCAAATTCCTTGCAAGTCTGCAGTCTGGAACCGTCGGTTTAGGGACGGGCGCTCGGAGGAGACTTGAAGACGGCGTCTATTACACCCTAAGCCAGAATGCCATTTATCTTCAGCGCAACGTTTCTTTCCCCCCTTAGTACGATACTGGAGGAAGAGAAGCTACAGCAGGAGGAGCGAATGAGGATGGAATCGAGGCGACAGGTCACCGTGTCCTGGGATTCCGGAGGATCGGATGAGGCTCCTCCCAAGGTACTTAAGATGGGCTCTCTCAACATAGCCTGCCTCTCAGGACAGAATAACTGCTTTATTCCATTGGGCTTTTTCAATATAGGGTTGTCAGTTTATAGGCTATTACACTTTTAAAGAACCTGTTATTAAAACAATTAACAACTGTTAAGTTTCTGTCTTTCGTTTCTTTCAAGCGTCTATTTCACTTGTGGTGTAGAAGTACTTTTGAAAACCCCGATAAAAAGGGATGGTAGAAGTAAAAAGAAGCACTGTTTTGTTTCTCCCCTTGTCATTTTTTGTTGCTTCTAAATACATCATTAAGGTGTTTGATGGCTAACCTTAGTTTTTGCATGTCTGAGAGTGAGGATTTTGGAGTTAGAACTATTGAGCACGATGGAGCGTAGTTTGGCGCGGGTTGCTTTAGTGAAAAACAAGGTCCAGATTATGCTAATCGTAGATATTGCCAGCATCTGCTAAGTGAAATTATGCATGTTCACCCATGTCTACCTTAATGCAAAGAGCTGTATACTTCTAATTCCTCTCGCATTTTCATCTGGTTGGTTGCTTGGATGAAGTTGGGAAGTGAAGTTGGGAACTTAAAAGGGTAGCCACATTTCTTCTTCACTCTGGATTCCCTCCTCTCGAGTTGGGGGGAGGCACAGCTTTTCATTATATTACTTTGCCTGGGGGCTTGAATATTTTTCTCTTTGTCTTGCCTGCCTTCTCATAAATAACTGGCTGGCTAGAGTCCTCCACAGCCATAAAAAGTTGTGTTTACGACTTAATAGCAAGTCGTTTGGAAACCAGTTCATTCCGTTCTGCTTTCTGCTGGTGCCACTGCTTGCTTATGAGACCCTCTGCTTCTGTCTGTTTTGATTTCATCTTGTCTCTGGGCAAGCGAGGTCTCAGCATCACTACTAGCTGCTGCTTCTCACCATGTTTTGTCCCCATCCCCACCCCCACCCCCACCCAGTGCATGTGTTCTTCCAGCGTTTTCTAAAACGTGCCCTGCATTTTGGGAATACGACAAGACTTGGTGGGATTTCAGGAGCTGCTCCCAGATGATCAAAAAGTTTGACTCTTAAGTAAATAGGCAAGACAAGATGAAAGCCTCCAGCAGAAGCAGACTGGGGGGTGGAGGGAGCACTGGGGTGGACTGAGAGGCAAGACTGGCAGCAGGAACAGAAGTGCTGCAGCTGTATCAGGGAAAAGCCGGGCAAGAGCAAGTGCAATTTCGGTACGCTGGCAGGAGGAGACAGTTCTGAGTGAGGCCCTTGCTCTAAGAGAGCCAGTTGACTCAAAATGACTGAATGGCATATTAAGTAAATGGAGGGAGCCTTTCTTGAGCTGCCATAAAACCTGATACTCCGTACACCACTGGAGTCCCCATGGTTGGATAGGCTCTCTTTGAAGGCTGCCCGTGCTATAGCTTGCCTCACTGCAGACAGGTGTTTTATAGGGTTGTGTAACTTTTGCTGTATTTTCTTTCTTTTTATTATACCGTTATCTTCTTTGTCTGTTATATTTCTGTTCTGTGTATGTTTACGTGCTTTGGGTTATACAAGCAGGGACTTTGCTTGTCAGGAACCTTCCAAGATTTACTATTTCCGGTGTGTGCGTGTGTGCGTGCTACCCTCTCTCAACAATGGTATCACGTGGGGAAAGAAGACCTTATTAGCCACAAGGTATAGATAGGAACTCTCAGTCTAGGGCAAGGGATGCTCTGTATTCTTGGTGCTGGGGGGGGGCAACAGTGGGAGGGCTCCTGGTGTCCTGGCCCCACTGCTGCACCTCCTGATGGCACCTGGTATCTTTGGCCCCTGTGTGACACAGAGTGTTGGACTGGATGGGCCATTGGCCTGATCCAACATTGGCTTTTCTTATGTTCTTATGGATAAGCATATGGAGCAGAAGTCCATCAATGGCTATTAGCCACAAGGTATCAGATAGGAACTCTCAGTCTGGGGCAAGTGATGCTCTGTCTTCTTGGTGCTTGGGGAGGGGCAACAGTGGGACGGCTTCTAGT